TTTATTGGAGATAGGAGTCTCACGGTCTCTCCTGCCCGGGCTGGCTTTGAACCGCGATCCTCAGATCTCAGCCTCCTGCGTAGCTAGGATTACAGGCGTGAGCCACCAGCGCCCGGCGCCACTTCCAGTTTTATCTGTTATGTGGTAGTGAGGAATCAAACCCAGGGCTTCATGCATGCTATGTAAACACTACCACCAAGCCACATTCCCAGCTATGTCTCTTTTCTTATTGCCTCTCTTCCTGTCTATGAGGAAAGTGGTCTTTCTCCACCACAAGCTCATCTTATAAGCCAAAATAAACCTTCTTTCCTTGGGTATTGTTACTGTAAACAGAAAGCTGACTGATACAGGTGCTATTCATTTAAAGGAAGAATTTAGCATTTTGACATCAGGAGATACCTTGCTGGTCAAAAGTACTCTTCCCAATACTACTCCATGGACAAGAATGGGTTATATGAACACATGTGAAAATCTGTAAGCTGCTTTCAGCCAGCTAGCACAGAAACTGATCGGGGCAAGGGTAGGGAAAGCTAGAGTTCCTTGAAAACAGATGATTACAAAAGGAGAAGCTGATTACAAAAGGATACATGACAACTTACGTTTCAAGGTATTCTGAATTTCTTTCAGGGTAGCTTCTAGATTTTTATTTTCTGCAGGCAAAAGGGCAATGAATATTCAGAAGTGCTAACTAGAACCACATGCTAACCATAATCAAAATGTCATCACATCATCAAGATACCATTTTTTGTCGTTATTGTTATTGTCATGGGGCCTGAACTCTGGGCCTGGGTACTGTCCCTCAGCTCTTCAGCTCAAGACTAGTGCTCTACCACTTGAGCCACAGAGCTGCTTCTGGCTTTTTCTGCTTATGTGGTGCAGAGGAATAGAACCCAGGGCCTCATGCATGCAAGGCAAGCGCTCTACCACTGAGCCACCTTCCCAGCCCCAAGATACCAATTTTTATCTATCATAGACATTGTGAAAAGAAATAACTATAAAATAACTATTATAACTAAATAACAATATTTAGCTATCTGTAGCAAACTACACAGGAAACGCCTGAATGGAAAACCTGGCTTTAGGTTGCTTTGGCTAAGAAAGAAAGCGGAAGATCAGTCACTTCCCAGTGGTAGCAGTACTTTGAAGCTACACCAAGTTCCAACATGGCTGTGGCTGCTTTGGGAATGGGAATCCCGGTCAGCATGGAAGTACCATAGTGCTGAGAGCATACCTAGGGGAAAGCCCCTTTGGAGGGCCTCATGGACTTTGCCTGAATAAACTTGTTTCTGGAAAACATTATACTGATGATACTGTTTTAACTAGCAGCATAATAAAACCACTCCTAAGTTATATAATACCTCACAGTGACCCACATTCCCAGCTTCCCAGAAGTGGATAATTATTTTCTTTTCCTTCCTTCCTTGCTTTCTTTTTCTTTTTGGTCTAAGACCAGGACTCAAACTTGATGCCTGATTCTTTTGCTAATTGGCTAGCACTCTACGAATTGAGCCATATTTCTAACCCAGAACTGGAAATTATAAAGACACAGGATCTTCAGTACTAAAATTAAGAAAGTCTCAAATGGAAAAATTGGAGAAACAATCTCATCCATTATTGATAGAAAAGATAGTTGGGCAACCTTTATTTAACTAACTCTACCAAAATTTAAAATGCCCTCTTCTTTGATCCTGCAATTAGAGCTTGTAAGTCCATTGCATGAAATAGATCCTAGTTACCTGAAATGCAATCAAATATTCTGTGAGATAAATATGCTTACTGGTGGTTAGCAGATGTTAAAGACTTTTTTGTGCCAGTCCTAGGGCTTGAACTCAGGGCCTGGACACTGTCTCTGAGCTTCTTTTGCTCAAGGTTAGCACACTACCACTTGAGCCACAGCTCCACTTCCAGCTTTTTCTGTGTATGTGGTACTGAGGAATTGAACCCAGGGCTTCATGCATGCTAGGCAAGCACTCTACCACTAAACCACATTCCCAGCCCAGATGTTAGGATTTCTTTCTTTCTTTTTTCTTTTTGGGCGGTCATGGGGCCTGAACTCTGGGCCTGGGCACTGTCCCTCAGCTCTTTAACTCAAGGCTAGTGCTCTACCACTTCAGCCACAGTGCCACTTCTGCCTTTTTCTGCTTATGTGGTGCTGAGGAATTGAACCCAGGGCCTCATGCATGCAAGGCAAGTACTCTACCACTGAGCCACCTTCCCAGACCAGATATTAGGATTTCTGAACCACAAATATACTGTTCAAACTTCATCCTTCCTGCTCCAAAGGTAGAGTAAACCGAAGTGAGATTAAGATGCTCCCAATTGCATCCTCTCCCTGAGCTTGGAAAACCCTCAAGTTACCTAATTCTCTGAGCCTTTGGTGGGATTGCTTATCCTCCAGTACATCACTCTGATCTTCCTTTTCCCAGGAGCAGAGAAAATGCTGATCAATCTGAAGTGTCATGGAGAACACCTCCCAGACATTTCTCAACCTCTCATTCACTTCCTGGAACAGTATCTTATCTTTGTCCGCACTTAGAAACCTGTAGAAGTTGGTTTTCTTGTTGAAATGTTCTATCTGCTGCTTAGCTTCCAGCAGAGCCCGTTTAAAATCGTCCAGGACTTTGATGATGTGTTCAGACAGGTTCCTTTCTCCTTGGTCCTGAAGACTCTGCAAAGCCCGTATGAGGCCCTTCACACGCTCTCCTAGACGCTCACTCTGTTTCTTGCAGTACTTCATCTTTTCACACTGTTTGTAGACCCCTTGGCCCAAGGCAATGATCGGCCCCAGTTTATCCATCACTGAAAGAAAAAGATGGAATAGGTTAAAGTCCCAGAATCTCCTGCACATTTATTACAGTGCTAAAAGAGTCTCTGGCATTTTCATGTAAGGTAGAGATGATGTCATACCCACCACATCTGTTCTGCCCACCACTTCTGTTCCAGCATCGCAGAGCTCAAGCTGGAAGTGTTGGTCTAGCGACCACTGCATTTTAATTTCTAGGAACTTACATGGTAGAAAAGTCGGTATGTGAGCTGTGACTGTGGCTTGCCTAGCATGCATGAGGCCCTGGGTTTGATTCCTCAGTACCACATAAACAGAAAAAGCTGGAAGTGGTGCTCTGACTCAAGAGGTAGAGTGCTAGAGCGTTGAGCAAAAGATGCTCGGGCTGGGAAGGTGGCTCAGTGGTAGAGCGCTTGCCTTGCATGCATGAGGCTGTAGGTTCAATTCCTCAGCACAAAAAGCGGGAAGTGGCATGTGGCTGAAGTGGTAGAGCGTTAGCCTTGAGTTGAAGAGGTGAGGGACAGTGCTCAGGCCCTGAGTTCAAGCCCTAGGACTGGCAAAAAAATAAAAAGAGAAAGAAAAGAAAAGAAAGGAGCTAGATGTTTGTAGAGGAATGTAAACGTAAAATGAAATAACCCTAAGAATATATCCAGATGTTACTTGTAGTGAAACAATGAGGAAATGCTCATTTTCAAAGTGAAAGAGTTGGGTGTGGCTCAAATGTTAAAGAGAGCCTTGCCTGGCAAGTCCTAGGCCTGGCGTTCAAACTGTTCCTCAACCCCCTCCCCAAAGCGGGAACAAATCTTAAAAAAATGAACCCACTTTGACTACTCAGGAGGCTGAGATTTGAAGATTGCACTTCAAGGCTAGCCCAGTCAGAACAGTCCATGAGACTCTTATCTCCAATTAACCACCAGAAACCCGGAAGTGGTGCTGCGGCTCAAGTGGTACAGGGCTAGTCTTGAGCTGAAGAGCTCAGGGAACAGCACCCAGGCCCAGAGTTCAAGCCCCACGACCGACCAAAAAACACAAACAAACCAATAACAACAATAACAATCAAAATTGAGCTATCTTCAGCCTCTCCATCCAAGTAATATAATACAATAAGATACTATGAGTCCACCAGGCATCCTCATTGAATCGTCGGCTTCCCTCCACTCTCCACTCACACCCAGGGCCAGAAATGGGCTCCAGACAATGAGAAGAACTGTCATCCCTTGAGACCCGAAATCAGGGCTGGTGGGAGTGCTCTCCAGTCCAGGGCAGCTCAGACCGGTCTGAGCCAGGTCAGGTCCACAGCCTCCGCCCCTCTGCCTTCTTCACCCCCGATTCTGTCCTGCCTTGGCACAGGTAGGTAGCTCCCTCCTCCATCCCCTGAGCGGAAACCACAGTCGCCCTGAGTTCCTGGAATTGGGGGGCCTCCACCAGGCTTTCCCTTCTCTGCTCGGCCCCGATCTCCCCTCCCAATCCGTGTACCCCAGGTTCCCCGAGCGCTCACTCCGGGGATTAGTGGCGGTGGTCCCGCGTCCCGGCGCCCCTTCCTCGGATACTTGGCCTGCGCGCTGCGCGCTGCGGGACCTGCGGTTCCGTTTCCTCTAAAGCGAAACCGTGGTCACCCCAGCTGCATCCAGCCCAGCCCTGGGTCCCAGCCAGCCTGCTGGGCGGCCCCGGAAGCCAGCACCGAAGAAGAAGGCCAGGGAAGGCGTGGCATGCCTCTTCGGGGCTCCCAGCTGCCAACTGCCTAGAACTGAGGCCCTGGGGCCCTGCCCTTTCCAGGTAACTCCCGGTAACGCTGAGCCAGCGCCGCCCTTCCGTCCTCCGGTCCCTTCCCAACAGCGGCCTCAGATTCCCTGGGGACTGGGAGAAGATGACTCCAGGGAACGGGTACCACCAGGATATACTATATGGGCAGGCTGGAAGTTGAGCCCAAACCAGCAACTAAGATTCTGTTTCTTTGAGCTGAATTCTACGGTTTTGTTTGGTTGGTTTGGTTTGGTGACAGAGTGTGGCTGTGTCTTTTAGATTGGCCTCAAACTCAGATTTCCTGAGTGCTGGGAAGAAAGCTCTGAACTACCATGCCTGAGGTACTACATAAATAAACTTGGGGAACCGGAGAGCAAAAAGAGGCAAGTATCTCCCAGATTTGCCTGACAGGTTTGGCTTCAAACAGAGATCCTCAGATCTCAGCCTCCTGAGTAATTACAATTACAGGCGTGAGCCACCAGCACCCAATAGAGTTTATATTTTCTATATATAAATTCTTTGTCAGATAATGTCATTTCCAAAGGGTGGAAATAATTGGACAAAAAAAAAAAAAAAGAATATGGGCCAGGCACTGGCTCACACCTCTAATCGTAGCTACTCAGGAGGCTGAGATCTGATTATTGTAGTTCAAAGCCAGCCCAGGCAGGAAAGTCCCTGAGACTCTTATATCCAGTTAACTACCCAAAAGCCAGAAATGGAGCTGTGGCTCAAAGTGATAGAGCATGAAAGCTCAGGTACAATATCCAGGCCCTGAGTTCAAGCCCCAGGACCAGTACACACAGAAAGAATATAACCTAAACCTCGTACACAATACAAATAACCTAAATGGATCATAGATTTTTTTTTTTGTTTTTTGGTCCAGTCGTGGGGCCTGAACTCTGGGCCTGGGCGCTGTCCCTCAGCTCTTTAGCTCAAGGCTAGTGCTCTACCACTTGAGCCACAGCGCCACTTCCGGCTTTTTTCTTTTTGCTTATGTGGTGCTGAGGAATCGAACCCGGGGCCTCAGGCATGCAAGGCAAGCACTCTACCACTGAGCCACCTTCCCAGCCCTGGATCATAGATTTAAAAGATCAGCTATATTGTGTGAGCCACCAGTGCTTGGCTTTCAAAAAGCTCTTTATCCACTTGCAGCACTTAGAGAGGTAGCGTTCTCTTTGGGTCACTCTTATCTTGAGGCTATAACTCTTTGGGTCTGTAACAGATCATCTGCTCTCTGTCCCTCTGGCCTGGATTTCAGTGGTGGTGGAAGGTTCTGTGGAACTCTGTGTCAACCTCAGTTGCAGCCACCGTTCAGTGGGAAACTCCCAAAAGCCAACACCCTACTTGTACTGATGGCCCTCCACGTCAAGCACACTCCTCCATCTTCCTGCTTTTGCACAGGACCTTTGTCAAGGCCAGGGAAATCTGCTTGGTTCGTGCGATGGTTTGAATGTGATTGGTCCCCACCAAAACTCACATTGAGCTTTAATTCCCCAATGTAAGAGAAGTCTTTAAGATGCAGTAACGCTGTCTTGGGGTATTTCTATGCAAACCTGGAACTTCCCCTTGAATCCTTCTCCCCACATGCTTTGCCATGGTACCATCTACTATAATAGGATGCAACCAGAGGCCAAACAGATGGAGCTACTAGATATGGGATTCTTAGCTTCCCAAATAAGTGTCTTTTCTTTATAAAATATCCAGTCTCAGGCATTTTGCTATAGCAATATGAGATGAACTATGACAGTTTGTATGATGGAGGTAGACATTAATTGTGTTTATGTGTGTGTGGGATTTGATGTGCCTAAGACAATCTTAAACCAGTGTGGGTGGAAATGACAGGTAAATGTTCCCCTTTTCATTCTTTTTTTTTTCTTTTTGGCCAGTCCTGGGGCTTGAGTCAGGGCCTGGGTACCATCCCTGAGCTTCTACTTTTTTTTTTTGGACTGGTCATGGGGCCTGAACTCTGGGCCTGGGCGCTGTCCCTCAGCTCTTCAGCTCAAGGCTAGCACTCTACCACTTTTGCACCACTTCCAGCTTTTTTCTTTTTGCTTATGTGGTGCTGAGGAATTGAACCCAGGGCCTCAGGCATGCAAGGCAAGCGCTCTACCACTGAGCC